CGAAAAATTCAGTCTGAAATTCTTGTCTCTTTGCTGTTCATTTCTTTTAGTGCATTATTCTTCATATAAAACATTAGGAATAAATTTCAGAGAGTTATAGAACACAAGGTTCTAGTTCGCCGGACAAATTTGTTTGAAGTGCTTCTACAAATTTGTGAGGATCATTGTATCTGGGAGATAGACGCCACTCAACCGTAAGCACCGTAGCGGGGCGAATCTGTCTTAAGGAAGGAGTGTCTCACACTCGACTTGGTCTTAATTTAATTCGATTCGATAAATAAATTCGTATATTATTTATTTATTTTGTTTGATTTTATTTAAGTTATTTTATTTACATAGAAGATTGATCCAACAATTCCAACAATCTTCTGTGTAAATAAAATAACTCGAAATAAATTCAAACAAAATAAATAAATAACATACCAGATTTATTTATCGAACCAAATTAAAATTAAGACCAAGTGAGTGTGAGACACTCTGTCCTTAAGACAGATTCGCCCCGCTACAGTGCTTATGGTTGAGTGGCGTTATCTCCCAGGATACAATGATCTTCACAAATTGTAGTAGCACTTCAAACAATTTGTTCGGCGAACCAAACCTGTGATCTATACTCTCTCTATTTTATTCAAAAACTAAATATAAAGAATAAATACACTAGAGAAAAATTAGAGAGCAATGATGGAATATCATACTGAAATTTTCGGAATTTTTCCAAGTCCCAAAATTGCTGAAATAGCATCTATATATAGGCAAAAAAATGAGACAAAAAACCTGCCTGAACAGGTGCTACCTGTTAAGTATCCAAAACCGTTTCGGACCGTTAACACTATGAAACCTTATATTCAAACAAATTTGAAAAAGGTTGTCCGTTGGTCAACTAAAGCAACTGCTTGTAACCTTATTTATTAAAAACTATTTAGAATATATATATATATATATATATTAACCAAATTGAAAAAATTTAATAAATAAAATAAGAGATACAAATTTTACGAAACCACTAAGGAACCTAAAATTTGAATTTAGAATTTAAATAAAATTCCCACAATTACAAATTTTAGGAAATCACTTAGGAACCAAAAATTTGAATTTAGAATTAAATTAAATTCTCACAATTACAAATTTTAGGAAACCACTCAGGAACCCAAAATTTGAATTTTAGAATTAAATTAAATTCTCACAATAATTTTTATTGAAAAAATTCAAAAGAATTTTATCTACAAAAAATTAATGTTAGACCCGAAAACGATGTCAACTTCACATTCACTCATAAATAGTTTTGACATTCCGTCTTCACCGTGTGACTTGCCACGCGGCAAGGAACACGTCACCTCTTCAGACCCATCCCAAAAGACGTTTTGAGACCCACTCAAATTTGCCTATATTAAACCATTTTTTCCAACAAAAACAAAATTATTTAGTGACATTAAAAAATTTCACATTTCATTGGATAATTCATGTTTAAAAGTCAAATAACTAATTCATTTGGTTTCCAAATATGATCATCTTATCGTTACTTTAGTCATGACACTAATAGTTGATGCACGAGTTAGTTTTTTTTTAAAATAATATTTTATAAAATTAAATTAAATTATTTATATATATCTATATATAAATTATTTTTAGAAACATCTTGCAATGTATGCATTACAAAAGAATAATATTAATTTTATCATGACATAAAATATAGCATAAAAAAATATATTTTTTAATTTTAATTGAATTATTTATATATATATTACAAAATATGCATTATAATTTTCATTATGTTAAACTATGAAAGTGTAGTTTATATATATATATATATATGATACTTTTGTAATTAATTTCAATATAATAAAATAAATATTCATTTTAATATTAAAAATAATGATTAAATTAGAGAAAAAAAATTCATTTAAAATTAAAGAATGATTTTAATTATTTATTTTGATAATCTTAATCTTATCATTCTATAAAAGTGTTATTTAAACAAATATATATATAATAATTTTATTTCAATTATTTATGTGTATTTTAATAATTTTAGCACTATCATGCTATAAAAGTGTAGCTTAAATCAATATATAATGATTTTATGTGATATTAAATTATAACATAGTTAAATAAACACTCAATTTGGCATTAGTAATAATAGTTACTAAAAGTAGGAATGGAAGTTATAAAAAAAATATTTTAAAAAATTAAATATAAGTATGTTGTGGTTAGATTAAGAAAAAATAAATAGATTAATTATTTTGAGTATTGATTTTTCTTTAATATCTATTTTAAAACTATTTATACATATTATACATATGCATATAAAATTTAAATTAAACATAAATTTTTCCTAATAGACAACTTCATGTTAAATAAGAAACTCAATATAAATTAATAATAAAATATAAATAAGATAGGCAAAAAAATAAGAAATGTATTTCATTTTAATATAAAAATTGAATACTTGAATAAAAGTGAAAAAAATAGAAGAAAATTAATTCGTAAAGTATTTTGTAGTATATATAATTATTTTAAATTTTATTTATGGGTAGTTTAGATTAAGTAGAAATCTTTTAAATATTAGATTTTATAAATAATTAAGTGTAAGGGTATATTACGTGGAACTTTACAAAAAAAGAAAAGAAAAGAATAAAGACAAAAAGAGAGATATGAGCTTTGCCTTAGAGCAATTTTTCAACCTGGTATAAGGAGAGGGAGGGCCTCTCTTATAAGGAGAGGGAGGGCCTCCCTCTCCTCAAAACAAAGCTTCACCAAGCGCTCAATCGATGTATAATTGAAATTAACTTTGTGTAGAATTTTAAAAAGAAATAGAAAAACATGCTCATTTTGATTTTTTAGAAAAAATAAGTTTTTAGAATGTGTCACATAATTAAAAGAAAAATACTACTTATATATATATATATATATGATTTGTAATTTATCTTTTGTCAATTAGTAATGATTTACTAATTACTTGGTACTTATTTTCTTATCCTATTAGAAATAAAATGATTTTTTTTTTTAGTTTTTTAAAAAAGAGTCCATAAATTTCTTAATAAAGTCTCATTTGCGAATAAACTATTTTAGTAACTATTTGACTTTTAACGAAAAGATGTGCAGAAAAATAGAGAGAATAATGTGACAACTTACATTAATTTTTTGACTTTTTAACTGAAACTAAAGATTGGCAAATGAGGCTTAAGATAAGAAAAAAAATATAAAACTACAAATATAAACCTATCTTTAAAAAAAAAAAAAAAAATACACAACAAAGAAGAAATTGGAATTGGAATAGCAGTATCCAAAGGCAAGTGTGGATAAACATAAAGGCCATGTTTGTTCGGGCGGACTAGATTAGCATTTCCATGACTAATAGTCCTAGGACTACAAATTCGTTGGATTATGTATCATATCTTAACTAATAGTCTACGTTGTCCTGCTTCTCCATTTCCAGATCTGGTCTTTGGGCCGATGTTGTGTGATTCTTCTGTCTTGTGCTTTGGGCCTGTTTTGGACTCTTACGCTCTCTGTGGTATGGTTGTTTGTGAGAGAAGACATCGCTAGGAGCTTCCTATCATGTTGATCAAAGGGAATTAGTTTACAGCTGGTGCTAGCAGCAGCAGGCATTGTTAGATGGTGGAGATTGCAGCTGGTGTCCCTTTTTCTCTTTGTTTTTGGTTTCTTTCTTCCTTGTTGGTTTCTCACCAACTCGGGGGTTCTAGCAAATGATAGAATGAGTTTTTTGGTGCCAACCTAGTTGGGATCATTCAGCTCATTGTGATGCTCCTGCACTCCTCTTCTCTTTATTGGTGTATTGTTTTTGTACCTTGTGCTAATTTACATCAATAAAGCTTCTTTTTGCTGATCAAAAAAAAAAAAAAAATCTTAACTAATAGTCAAGTTTAAAATAATTAGTCCGTACTTCAATTGTTTAACCAAATATCAAATTAATAATTTTATTGGACTATTAGTCCAATCTCAAACTCATGTCCACCCAAACAAACATGGCCAAAATGTATGGAAAAACTAATTTAGCACCTCTAATTTATCTCTAATGATATAAAATGGATCCTACTTTTTACTCTTCATCCTTTCTTTCTGTTTCTATCTCTCTATTTTCTCTTTTCCATCTCATTAAAAATCAAAATAAAAATAATATATTAAACAATATACCACCACTCATACTATCAAAAACGTGAAACGAGTTGAACGCTTGAGGGACAACCATCTGCGGAAACATGGAACCGCCCTTGCCCAAGCCTTTTGGAATCTGACCCAATCACTCTCACCACAACCCCCTCACTTCCCATTAACAATACTAACCCATCACACATTCATTCTCTCTCTCTAGATATTTTTATTCCTTTTGTTCTTCTAATAAAAGGAATAAGGATCCTCTAGAGTTTTTTTTTTCTAAAGTTTCTTAAAGTGGTGCATTGTGTGGTTGAGATTTAATGACAAGTCACATCAATTTTTTAACATTAAATCTCAACCACACAATACACCACTTTAGGAAACTTTAGGAAAAAAACACTCTAGATGATCCTTGGTGTAATAAAAGACTCACATCAATAAATTAATATTTTAATCTTTTATTTTAAATTTATAATATAAATAAAGTGAAATTTAATTTGTAATGTGCTATATAAGTATATTTTTTGATTTTTTAATTAAAAAAATAGAAAAAAAATATATATTTGTGATAACTTTTTAATTTTTTATAAAAAAATATATAATAAAATATTACAATAAAATTAAAATGATAATTCTACATTTATTGACTTTTAGTTAGTTTAATTCAAAGGACAAAATAATAATTTTATCCTCTAAACTTTTCCACAAAATTCTCTCAAATATTATGAATTTTTTAATTTTTTAAATAATTTTTTGATTTTTAAATTTTTGTAAGTTATACCAAACGAATGCATGCACAACCCAGATATATCAATTTTGCTCTCATTATTACGTCTGCCAAACTAACTCAACCTTAGTTAATTCGACTTTTAATTCCCACTCCATTTCTCTCTCTTCGTCTCTCTCTTCTCCCTCCTTTGCATTTATATATACACCTAGCTGCATTATCAGGCCTAATTTCTCTCTCTCTCTCTCTCTCGATTGTGTGTCTTGCGGCCGAAGTCATCTGCACCTTCATTTGTTGATCGTTTCATCTGATGTTCCATTGCTGATATACAAGAGAGAGAGAGAGAGAGAGAGAGAGATCATGAGTTGCAATGGATGTAGAGTTCTTCGAAAGGGATGCAGTGAAAACTGTATCCTTCGGTCATGCTTGCAGTCCATCGACTCCCCCGATTCTCAAGCTCACGCCACCCTCTTCGTCGCCAAGTTCTTCGGCCGCGCCGGTCTCATGTCTTTCATCTCCTCCGTCCCCTCAAATCAAAGACCCGGTACCTCCCCCCACCCTCTCTCTCATTGCGTTTGGTTGGTTTTAAATAATAGTAGTATCTATCGGATATGTATTAATATCGGTGATACAGTTAAATATTAATCTGTGTCGGTTGATATATTAGTAAATAACAGAGTATCGGAGTCTGAAATTCCAATACATATGGCCTGATTGGTTTTTCTTTCAGATTTGTTCCAATCCCTGTTGTTCGAAGCGTGCGGGAGGACGGTGAACCCAGTGAACGGAGCGGTGGGGCTTCTATGGACTGGGAACTGGCACGTGTGCCAGGCGGCGGTTCAGACAGTCCTCCGTGGCGGCACGTTGCGGCCGATCCCTGAGTTCCTCGCCGACGAGACTTCGGAAGCTGAAGTCACATGTACAGACATGTTTAAGCTTAACCAAGATCCAGAACCTAAGTCACGATCGAATGACCAATTGGGCAATCTTAGGCTCAGTTTAACGCCATGTTCATCATCGCGAGGCGGCGGCAGCGGAGGAGCACTGAATTTTCAGTCCTCACCTAAAAAGCGGCGACCCGGGACACCATCGATGAATTCAGAAGAATCTGTGACGACTACTTGTTTCCAAAGCGGTGGTTTTCGAGACGCTTTTGCACAACGAGGAGGAGGAGGAAAGCTTTTAAACTTGTTCAACTAATTTAATTTGGTAGTATAATATTCTTCTTTTGTCGACTTCATTTTTTTGTGTTTGGGGGGAAAGGGCTTCCCCGGAATTACAGTTCCGGCGAGTTTTTTTTTGGTAAATCACGGCCACAAGATTTCCTTGTTCGGATCCAAACATGGAAAAATGAAAGTTTGCCGGTGATGCTTTCTTTTGTAGTTTATGGCTTTGGGCATCAATAAATGAATTGTTTTTGTTTTCTTTTCTTTCTGTAATCTTCTGGTTTTTTTTTTTTTTTTTTTTTTTTTTTTTTTTTTTTTTTTTTTTGGTGAGGGTTACAAAATTTTTTGGAAATGCTAAAATATCATGAAAAATGTTTTATGAGAGTGATCATGAATGAATCTCTATCATTGTATTACACTTTATAACTTATTATATATCTCATCTAAGGGTCAAAAAAATCTTTCACGATCATATTCATGAAATATTGTTCAACCTAATCCTAGGTAAGTGAGTGTGAGACCTAACGTGTTTGGTAGATTATTATTTTTTGTTTTTGAAGAGTAAGAAAGCGAGGACAAAGCAAAGATGGAGATAATTTGTTGAATTGTTGGCCAGGCAAAATAAAAGAAAAAAATTTCCGTCGGAATGTGGAGGAGTCTTCATTCATATTTTCGTAGTAATAATCCAGAAATAAGAAAAATGATATGAAATAAGATTTATCAGCCCATTATTTGTTAAGAATGGATTTGTGTAGTGGAAATTAAATTAATAAAATATGGAGTTCATGAATAAAATGAATTTTAACTATTAATTTTTTTTTTATAGTAAATTTTGAATTAATAAGTCTAAATTTGTACGGTGGTGCTAGTATACTAACATTAGTTATGACAATATTATTGACTCCACTCATTAATAACATTACAAATACTAAAAATCTTTTAAATTGTGCCACATTATCTATTAGTACACTAATTAGTTTATTAATTGGTACATATAGCATTATTCAAATTTGTAGTCTTGTTGCTAGAAATTATATTTAATTTCAGCAATGCTAAGGGGCCACAAATTCTGCGGTTCAAATGGTCTGAAACTGTCAAAACGACGTCGTTTTGGGTGCAAAACAAGCCAAAACGACGTTGTTTTGACAGTTTCGGACCATTTGAACCACAGAATTTGTGGCCACCAAACATTTTCCATTTAATTTTATCTTCACTATCTAGATAAGCATAAGCTAATGCATATTTTTAAAAATGTATCTACAAATAATTTTTATAAAAACAAATTATTTCAAATAAATCATGCAATAGTGATATGTTACTTTAACTTAAAATTAACTTGTTGATGAACAATCAATTTAGTTTATATGTATGCTACTTCATTTGGTAAGTTTTAAATATATTTATGGTTGCCATGCTCTGCTACCTCAGGCACTTCTCACGGGTTAATCGCCAAAAACTACCCAAACATCATACATAACCTGTGCGTTCTAGCCAAACCCTAAAGTAATTTAGCCCCAAATTGAAATACAATAAATAATAGAAAGGAGAGGTTGTACTAGAGTTCTTAGCTTAAAGAATAAATAGATTGACCTAGTACCAAGAATTGATTCTTCAACCTCTTTTGTTGGAACCCTCAAGAGATCTTTGATGACTATGAAAAAAAATAAATAATTAATTAATTAATTAAATTTTTTATTTAGATTCTAATTCTATGAACTTTTAAAAATAGTTTCACAATTCAGAAACTTATAAAAAAAAATTATTTGATGTTTCCCATTTGAAGCTAGTATATTGGACAAAATTTTTGGAATGAAAGGATGAATATTTAGTTTATAAAATTCATAGACTTATCGGTGTTTGATAAATTGACGCAACATAATTTTTATGATCCAATTTTGATTTTGTGTTTATTTTGAGTGTTAGACCATGACTTCACATAAAGTTTGTCGGGTGTAGTTTGATATATATGTGGGCCATGTTTGGTTTATAGGTGAAAATATATTTCAAGAGTCATGATTTAGAATTAATTTAATTTGAGTTTGTGTAACTCATTATGTGAATGGTGGAGACCACTTTGGGTCTATTTGGTTTATTTTTGCTTAGGTCCCAAATTAGATAGCTACTTCAGATTATTGAACTTTACTCATATTGGACTCAATTGATTTCCATGTCTTGATTATATATATATATACATATATGTAAATCATCATAAGAAAGTAGTGAATATTTGTGGTGTGTGTGACACCAAATTATGATCAGGCTTATGAATGATGAATTTATGATACACACCATAAAATCATAGTTATACTTTTATTTTTTTTAATCATCAAAGGGTTTTATTTATTAACTTGTCCTTTCACCAAATGAGAGGATCTTGTTTCACCTTATCTTGATTAGTTTATTACATTAAAGTTTTGATTTCTTTCTTTATTATCTGTGTTGGCGAAATCCAAGATGAGACAAAAATTTAGTTCCATATTATAATGAAAGAAAACTCTCTCTCTCTCTCCTTTTCTACAATTGATGGCTGACCACCCACCCCTTTTTTTTTCGGTTTCTTTCTTTCCTTTACTTGTTTGTGCTGAGACAAGACTCAACATATTGAAATATATGTATTAATTGATGGGTGTGCCCATTTCTTTTGCGATTTTTCATTACATATGTAGAGAAGCATTAAATGAGATGTAGACATCACTTCTCTCCCTTTGCTGGCCGAGAGCCATTCTCGCCTCCCTAGGCTTGGATCTACTTCTTCACAGATAGAGTTCCTTCCCATTCATTTTGTTTGGTGTCCTCCCTCTATACAAAGAAAGAAGAAGAGAAAAATCTTTTTCCTATTTGTTTTCTGTGCAAGCCGTGAGACTTCTCCCTGTTTTTCCCCCCTTTGAAATTCTTCTTTTTCCATTGTAGAGACCTTGGTGTCCTAGCCTTAGCCTTGGTTGTTCAGGTTTTTCTTGAGTGGTTAGAGAGATAGAGATTTGAGAGGGTTTTGTGAAGAGAGCTTGCAATTCGTGAAGGGTTCTTGGAGGATCTTGAAGCTAGGAGGGTTTGTTGGCTTGGACCTACACTCTTCGCCTTTTCGTCTTCTTACTCATATCTTGAGGTAGGGATTTCTTTGATTCTCTTCAATACTTTGTTATAGATAGATATGTGGTATTTTATTATTGCATAAGAAACATGATTTGTAGAGAGATTTTTGAAAGGCATGTGGATTTTGAATCAGGACTTTTGGATTTTAAGAGCTTATCTAATGATTCATTATTGATTATGAAATTTTGAGATAATAAAACATGTTTATGATGAGTTTATGTAAAAGCCTTAATTTTTAATTAAATATTCCAGAAGCTAGAGAAGAATTGATAATTATATAATTATTGAGACTTACACGAATTTAGAACATCATTGTGGTGATTTAATTAAAAAGCTTAATTTTAATTGTTGGTTTAATAATTTGAGAATGAGGTAAGCTGCTTATACTTAATAGTCGTATCGGTTATTGTGAAGTTGAAATGGAAAGGAAATGGGTGGGTTGTCATATAATGGAACCATACCGAACATGTTGGGAATTTCAGTTAATGAAATCAGAATTTTGAAATAGTAGTATATAAATAAATGAAGAAAGGATAATGATTTTAAAATTAATTGTTGTGAACTTGTAACAGGAAATTTGAAGAGGAAGGGAAATACGTAATGGTCTTGAAATTTACTTTATGCCGAAACTATTGATGACTGGAAGTTGTGAAATCAAACATGGAATTGTTATGAGAATTATATTGTTCCTATAAGAGATTTGAGTCTTTTTGTCTAGAAGTTTTGTCCTTGGCCATCGGTGGAGGATGATATTGTTTGTTGTAGTATTGATGAGAAAGAGGTTGATATGAAACCTTATGTGTTATCGATTGAATAGTCCAATTGCGTAATAGATGAGATCGAATAGAATAAATTTGAGATACTTGTGTTGTGAAATGTGATTGTGCTATATGGAGGTAATGCGATCCTTTCGGCTAGCAACCGGTAAAGTGGGTGGATGTGCTATATAGAGGTAATGTGTTCCTTCCGGTTAGCGTCCGGTAAAGCAGGCTGTGCTATATAGAAGTAATGCGTTCCTTCCGGCTAGCAACCTGTAAAGCAGGCAGACGTGCGGCTCGGTGAGACCATGGTGGTGATGTGAGGCTTAGTGAATCAATTTGCATATATCTGAAGAGATAGTTGTTGATGAACATATGTGTTGTGAAAATAGTTGGAGTAACGTCGTGAGATGATTGTTGAGTTCAATGATAATTGGATTATTGTTTGATATAAACGAGTAGCACAAGGGTGCAAAGGATTAACAGTGAATCGATTATGGAAATAAAAGACAAATTATAGAAATGCAAAAATGATTAATGTACGTATGGCATTTGAGATGTGATTTAGATTGAGAAATGTCCTTAAATTGAAATTGGTGAGTACAAGGATCAAGAAATTAGATTTTTTATTTTTATTTTTATGAAATGATAAAGGATGGAATCTTTTGAGAAAGAATATATTTATGTATGTATATTTTGAATACAAAAGTCACATTACATATGTAATTAGAACTTGTATATTCATGATCATAGCTATCTATGTACTGTTATTGTTTAGAATCAATGAGATCTCTACTGGACTTTGTTGTTCATCCCATGTTGTTAGCTATTTTTCAAGTACAAAGTTGAAGAATTGTTCAGGACTAAGATGTCTTGTTATTGTTGGCCAAGGGGGCCTTTTACCTATAGGCAAAATGCCATTTGCTTTAAAGAGAGAGTCAATCTCTCTCTCACTCCATTTCTTTGAGTTTTATTTTCCTCGATGTAAGCCTAAGGGCACATTTTGTGAATTAATGTATTTGAGCATTTCATTCATTGAAGGTACAAGAGAGAATATTTGTGTTTGGTTAATTATTCTTGCTTACGTATTATTAATAAAGAATTGACTTTAATAATGTATTGGGTAATGGAATCGGGTAATGAAATTAAGGGCGTTTCAAGATCCCCTTCTTTGGATTTTTTGAGAATAACTGTAAAACCTAATGAGGTTATTAACCTAATTTTTTTTAAAAATTAGAAAGTTACCCTCTTCATATATTAGTTATATGCATGTCTTGGGTATTACATTAGGTTTTAAGTCTACCATTTCTTTTGAGATCACAAATTAACACTCAAGAGAAAGCTCGTGATGATACTTTTAAGATGGTGTATAATTTTTGAAGGGGCTTCAGCTTAAATATTTTTCTATTTCAAGTATGTATACTCTGAATTTAAGTTAAGATGTTCATAATTTATTATTAAACTCTATTGAAAACCAAAAGAGAAAAATAAAAAAGAAAAGAAAATTCATATTAGTGATCGTCACAACATGGGCTAAAAATGTGTTGATGCTCAACTTCTAATTGCACTTCAGCTTATTTGCTCTGGGTTCTAGGTAGGTTTTCTCTTTCTATTTACCACCATTTTAATAGAGGTACTAATTAATTGTTAAGAACGTACAGTTACTAGTTACTAGTCAACCCTTCCACTTTAGTCATAAAGTGTTTGAGTTACCAATTCTTTTTAAGTATATATAGATTATGTTATATGATCAAGTCTTATTTTCGTCAAAAATAACTTGCATATCACTCTGGAAGTGGTCATAGGAATCTGTTACTTTGATAATCAGTTTGGTGGCTCACTCTTACTGATCTTTGAAATTTCAATCTCTTCACAGTATTGATGACAATGTTGGCTTACTGACTGGAGCTAATTTTGAAGACATAACTATGATCAACCATAATAATAAGACAGGCAGATGGATTTCTTCATTCAGGTATAGTTTTTTGTATGTTGTCATGCTGTTGTGATTAGGTCTGGAACAATCAGCTCACTGCTCTTTGGTAAAACTGATTTACATTTGTGGGTGTTTTCTCATCTAAACTTAAACTGGATTTATGTGCTTTTGTAACTGATTCACTTTGCAACATCTACCTTGACTCGGAACTTTTAGATTAGACTCAAAATAGACATCCATGTATAGATTATATAATTAGATATGAATTATTCACATTTTTTTTGTGCTGGTTGTTCATAACCATTTCTATTTAGCCTTACATGTTTGTAATGAAAAAATAAAATGGAAAATGAATCAGCATCCTACCCATGCAGATGTATATTATCTCCTATTTGTTTTTAATGTGTTCATGTTCCCACTTTTGTCATGTAGTTAGAATCGATGGTTTGATTCATGATTCATGCATAGATGGATGCGAATCTATAGGTGAATCTATTTTGAAATAGAATTGACAATGAATCTTATGATTCACAATTCGATTAACACTACAATTCATATGATTTGTGAACTGTCGAGTTGGATAGATTTTGTACCCCTTTTTCCTTCTTTTTGTGAAAATTTCAAAATACAAATTCTAAGAGTATTTAGTGTGAAAATAACCAATACTCGTGCATGATTTGTTGTTCTTTTGGTGATTAAAAGATTTAATAGGATAAATTAATCTCAACCTTTTGGATCTTCATTTTAACGCAAGAAATTTGTATATAAAACTTTGTATCTATCTATATAAGATGGGATTGATTACTAATATAGCTTCTTCTTTTGGTTGAAAAAGCAGAGCAATATGGGGTTGGGATGATTCATATCTCTTCATTGGTAATATGAAAAGAGGAGTTGATGTTATCTCCACGGCTAGGAGAGTATGTGTTGCGACTTTACAGAGCCCAAATTTGTCTGCAATTCCATGCCGCTTTGATACACACCCTTACCAGATTGGGATGCTTGCAGGAGCCACAAGTGGAGGCCAGGTTTACACATGGACAACAACTTGAGCTTCTCTTTTTCAACCACCATTGTTGTCCTTTAACTTAAAATTGACTTCTTGATGAACAATCAATCCAGTTTGTATGTATGCTACTTCATTTGGTAAGCTTTAAATATATTTATGGTTTTGCCTGCAACTCTTTCTTGCTCAGCCATTTCTGCAAAAACTGTATGTGAACTAGTTTACATTTTTGCTTTGGCACTTGCTCATTTTCTAACTGAAAAACATTAATGAGGTGACCTTGTGTATTGCCATTCCAATATACCACATTAACTAAATTACTCTATTTTTTAAAATTTATTATCATTATGGGTTTTATATCATCACTTAAGGTGAGGCTTACTATTATTGTTAGTGTCTCTAAAGTTAGTTAACTCCATAAATTTGGAGTAATTTGCAGTGAAATTAGAGTGATTGTGCTGGGGGAGTAATGATTTTGAAATTCCTAGATCTATTACCACAAAAAAAATTGAAAGAAGAAAGAAGAAAAAATTGGTAGATCCATACCGAATATCACGTGTCCAACTTGAAATTTTTTAGTAGTTTAAGCAATATAAATTTTTATTTTGGTTATGTATGAACAGTAATTTGAACAATCCAAATTCTGTTATTAATAAATATAAAATGTATAATAAACATGAATTTAAGTCATTGTTGAATTATATATATATATATATATATTTTGAGCTAGATTGTTGAATTTAATATAATACTGTTTATTTTCTCACTGTTAAATTTAAGTCATTGTAATGTAATTAATTCTACTGTTTGACATGTATAATTCAAATTAATTTTTTTCTTGCATTTCATGTTTGAAATTTTACAGGTAATTTTTATTTTTTTATTTTTATGAGGTGTAATGCGTTGATTCAGAACAAGATAACTTTCTTTTGTCAAATTTGAACACTTTGTACCTAATCCTAATTTTGTGATAAACTTGAGCTTCGTGGTTGGATAATTCTGAGGTATGCAAGGCATATATGAATCCTCATATATTTTTATTGTTTGGGATGCATACATTTGTGTTAAAACTTCTACATTTTTGTGTTAGAAAATTAAGCTAAACTATCAATAGGTCTTAATAGTTGGATTTAATTTTCATCAAGTCCTATTAAAAATAAGTTTTAGTAAAATTGTCTTTAAAAATAATTTTTTTGTGACAATTTTGTATATATGTCGCTAAAAATTGATAATTAGTGAATTTTTTTTTTGTCATGATTTTTATAAATTGTCGTTAAAACTTATAATTAGTGACTTTTTTTATGGCAAATTTTTCTCATAGATCCTATTAGATAATAAGTCCACTTATTAGGATCTATACGTAAGTACCCCTAGAATTTATACATTGTTGACCTGCTAAGCAGCTCAACTTACAGGTAAACATATTTAAATAATATATTACACTATATACGTGTAAGTATTTTTACAAAATGCGTAAGTTTATTCTAAAAAATTTAGAACAATACAAAATATGTAAGTTTTTACAAATCACGTAGGTGACAAAAATGCGTAAGTGAACACAAAAACACGTAAATTTGTTCCAAATAATTTAGAACAACACAAATATGCGTAAGATTTCACAAATCACATAAGTGATTTCACAAAAATGCGTAACTGAACAAAATAGTGCATAAGTTTGTTTCCAAAAATTTAGAACACAAAATGCTTAAATTTTCACAAATCACATAAATGATTTCATAAAAATGCATAAGTTTACACAAAACACGCAAGTTTATTCACAAAAATTTAGAACAACACAAATTGCATAAGTTTTTACAAATCACGTAAGTAATTTCACAAAAATGCGTAATTGAACACAAGAACGCATAAGTTTGTTATCAAAAATTTAGAATAACACAAATTGCATAAATTTTCACAAATCACGTAACTGATTTTACAAAAATACGTAATTGAACACAAAAATGTGTAAGTTTGTTGCCAAAAATTTAGATTAACACAAAATGTACAAGTTTTCACAAATTATGTAAGTGATTTCACAAAAAATGCGCATGTGAACACAAAAAATGCGTAAGTTTGTTTTAAAAAATTTAGAATAACACAAAATGCGTAAATTTTCATAAAAATGAGTAAGTTTGTTCCCGTAAATTTAGAACAACACAAAAGACGTAAGTTTTCGCAAATCACGCAAGTGAATTCACAAAAATGTATAAGTGACCATAAAAAACGCTTAAGTTTGTTCTAAAAAATTTAAAACACAAATATGCATAAGATTTCACAAAAACACATAGCTGAACACAAAAATACATAAGTTTATTCACAAAAATTTAAAACAACACAAAATGCGTAAGTTTGTTCACAAAAATTTAAAATAACACAAAATGCGTAAGTTTTCATAAATCACGTAACTGATTTCAAAAAAATGTGTAAGTTTACCAAAAAAACGCATAAGTTTGTTTCCAAAAATTTAGAATAACATTGTAACACTTTGAAATAAACATAATATACCTATCTCATTACAACTAATAAATAGCAACATAAATGAAATGATAAGCTTTCATTAATCAGAGTTTGATATACGAAAGATGACACATGCAATATACATTCATAAACAATACATCCTGAGTCTACAGCATGTGTTACAAGATAGTGAAAAGAAATGAAGGCTAAACAGATAACCATAAGCTCTTACTCAAAGTCCTCGAAAGCTATTGCCTTGGAGGAGGTATATCATCAGTACCTGAAATGTTTTTCCTACATAGGGTAAGCCGAAGTCCAGTATAAATAATCCATCATAATATATGAATCTTAACAAAGTTATAAGGTGAATGCATATGTAATGCACGTGTCAAAACATTTTATATCTCTTTCCAAAACCATGTATTACCAAATCAATATCACGGTTCATATATCATTTTTTTTACAATAGAAAACAGGGTAATGAATCACACCTTTGGAATTTCAAAACAATACAAACTTTCCTAAAAATTTCGTCCGGAGGAAACCGTAAGCCAAGACCCATATAAACATAGACTATACAAGCACTACTATTGCCATTTCTCGAAAATTTCATCCGCAGGATCGGCATCCATGTATACGCGTAGTTTTTGAAACTTTCACCCTAGACACACAGGCCAACTTATTTGATATAACAACAATTCATTTCCCAGATTCACCAATTTTCTCAAAAAAGTAACATTTTGAATGTATAAGTGTGTGATAATGCTCAATGCAAATGAATGCGAAAAATAGTTTCAATTATTCTAATTCACATGCAATTTCTATAAGACTCATAGCTATCCTTCACCGACAGCCTAAAATAGTTATTTCTAAATAGATAAACAATTACCAATAAAGATAAACTCTCCAAATTTTCAAGACGTGGGTAATAATACATATCTAACTCCACCATTCTCATTAACATCAGTCAGATTTCACAATTCCAATATCAATCTCATAATTTATATAAAATCAACATCTGAGGCATGTAGGGTAAAAGCCATTTTCTTCCCAAAACCAATTCCAACATTCAAAATCAACGATTCATCCCCAACTCCACATCATCTTCTATAACAAAATCATTTTCAAGGATCCATTTGAAAAACCCCCTCTTTTGATTTTTATTCAAATCCCTAGATTGTTCCAAATCTTCCAAAGATCTCAATATGGTTTAAAAATAACAAATAACTAACTTAAAACTCATAGACAGAGCGAAATATTCCTACCTCAAGCCTAGAAGATAATTGAAGAAGGGATGGAAATTCAAAGATGTCGAAATTCAACTTTGCTCCGATTAGAACAAAGCCCTCGTCAAACTCTATCTTTTTAACAAAGGCACACAGGTAAAAAGATGAAAAGATCGATGGATTTAGGTGTATTTGAGGGAAAGAGATGAGTTTTAGAGAGAGTGAGAGATATTATGGTTTTGAAATGTTTAGAGAGAGAGAGAGAGAGAGAGAGAGGTGAAAAAGTGACTAAGAAAAGTGTTTTTACGAACTAATATACGCACAGCTCGCTCAAGCGCAAGATGTGTCGCTCGAGTGACTAAACACAATAAGTTGTTCCGCTTGAGTGCAAGAAGCTTTGCTCGAGCGAAGAATACAAACTCCCAGTAATTTTGCAAACTTGCAAAAATACTGGATGTTCACAAAGACCGCTCGAGCGAATGAACGAAAATCTGGGCAACAAAAGTTTGAAAAACAAGCTATCAACCTGTTCCTAACGCAATCAACACAACCCAATAGCCCAACTCAAGGAGAAATAGTGGGAAACAAGGCAAGAACAACTATATAAGGAAAAGAAAACTGAATCCAAAAGTCAAATGGTCGGGTTTAAACCAGAAATGCTATAACCTCCCCCTTAAGGAATTTCGTCCCCGAAATTTAAACCAAACATTTAAAACCATGTTTTGACCAATTATAACATTGATAACAATTTCAAATCATCACCATGACCCATCCACCGGTTATCTATCCTAGTCAACAAGATAAATATCTGCTCATTACTGTATATACGATTCATATTTTCAAAACATATACAATGTTTATATTACATTAACATAATAATGTCTCAATGCATGTTCAAACATTAATAAAAAAGTCCGGATATTTCTCACGGACGTCTGCCTCACGTTCCCAAGTGGCCTCCTTAACCCCGTGGTGTCGCCACAACACTTTTAGCAAATGAATCGTCTTGCCTCAAAAGATTTGGTCTCGATTATCTAAAACTCTAACCGGTCTCTCCTCATATGAGGTATCCTCATCAACCTCTAATTCAGGCTCATACTTCTGAAGCATACAGATATGGAACACGTCATACACCCAAAAAGCTATGGCGGCAAGGCCAAACGATAAGCTACCTCTCCAATTTGCTCTAGGATCTCAAAAGGTCTAATAAACTTAGGAGACAACTTTCCGCTCTTTTCAAGCCTCATCAAACCCCGTCTAGGTGATATCTTCAGGAAAACGTGATCTCCCACCTCAAAGGACAACGGTCTCCTCCTACGATCGGCATAGCTCTTCTGACGACTCTAAGCCGTGACCAACCTCTTACGGATAAGTGAAATTTTTTCCGTCGTTTCTCAGACTAACTTTGGACCCAACATAGATGCATCACCCACCTCGGCCCAACACACAGGGGACTTACACGGTCGGCCATACAAGGCCTCAAACAATGCCA